CTGAGGACGTGTGCACGGCAGAGGTGGAGGCCCTGGGAGGGAGGCTGAGGACGTGTGCACGGCAGAGGTGGAGGCCCAGGGAGGGAGGCTGAGGAGGTGTGCACAGCAGAGGCAGAGGTGGAGGCCCGGGGAGGGAGGCTGAGGATGTGCACAGCAGAGGCAGGTGGAGGCCCGGGGAGGGAGGCTGCGATCAGAAGGAGCCGAGGCTGGGAGGTGGAGCTTGGGGTGAGGGCTAAGCACAGCTATGGACAGGCCAGGGCTGCCCTCTCTCGGGGCTGGCCCTGGGGTCCTTTCCTTCGGCATTCTGCAGCGCCCACGCTGGCATTCTGGGTGCCGGTGGGTCTGTGCCATTGCGTGCTTCTCGGCCCGCTGGACGGTTTCTGAGCACTGAAGCCTCTGCAGGCGCCCAGCGTGCTCTGTGGCACATGCCCGAGTGGCTGCAGAGTCATGAACCCGGCGGGCGCGGCTCAGTCACAGCCTCCATCTGCTTAGGGCGGGAACGGGTGGCCGGGCAGGAGCGCACCCCGGTGTCTGTGGGTCCCCAGCTGTCCCGGGCAGGCCACGCAGAGGGGTGGTGCTGGCCCCGTCAGGCTGAGTTGGAGCGTGGGACCGTCCCCAGAGCCGTCCACAAGCCAAGTGTTGAGCAAACACCCGGTGTTGCTTCTGGAATGTTTCTCACACGGTGATAGCATCGCTCTGAAACGGGAGGTGCTGGCGGCCACTCAGGCCTGGTCTGCCCGCAGATGTGGGCAAGGAAGGCCCAGCCCCTAGAGGGTTTCTGGCCACCGCCTTGTGTCCCGGCTCCAGGGCCACTATCAGCCGGTGCTTCCAGGATGTCGGGGAGCCGGCTGGCTGCTGGAGATAGTGGGGGCTGGAACCCCGCCATCTCCTTTGAAGCCCGGCCCTTAAGGCCCGAGACCCTGGCTCCTGACCAAGATCCTATACCTTATTTTTAAACTCACTGCATTTTCTTCTTCCCAAGAAACTAAGGTGATGTAAGTTGAAATGATAATTACACCCCGGTACTGATTTAGACTTAACCACAGAAGAGTAAAGATTTTAAAGCCTTCATTCCACCTTTTGGTGGAATGAAAATTTTAAATTTTTGATAGAACATTACTCAGAAAGTGAGCCCTTGTTTTCCAAACTTGTTTCTTCCCAAGAATGCAGATACTACGACGGCTTGTCCCGCAGGCCTGCCCGGTGCCCATCCCCACCCCAGCGAGTGCCCTCTGCCCACCTCCCACCCTCCCCACCCCAGCGAGTGCCCTCTGCCCACCTCCCACCCTCCCCACCCCAGCGAGTGCC